AACAAATATCATCAACTTTAAAACATCACTATAATATATGAATGCAAAAAATGGATTTATGAAAATCCTGTAACTCATCACTAACAATTAACTACATGAGCACATATGCTGAAGTGAATATAGGTTCTTATCTAAAATTATCATTTTTCAATGTTAAATCATTTTCTTAAAAAAAGCAATAGCTGAATCACTGAAGTTGAATATTTGCAGAATTTCTAGAATTATAAAATTTAATTATGCTTATTTCTAAAACTTTCAATTATTTGATAGTGTGTCATTCTAGTCAAGACTAACTATTTGGAAATAGAATATCTCAAAATATCACATGCCCAACAAGTAGAGAAATGTGGTAGAGAAATGTGGAAAACTACAACATTTTCTCTCCCACATAATAAACAGGCGAATGGTCACAATGAATAATGGAAATAATAATTAAAGATTCGAACCAAATACGAGAGAACTCTTCTGCATTATTGCTTGACCCTATAGCATGAAAAGACATATGGAGAAAGGGTGCAGCACGGGATAATCATGAATGAGCCTCAAGTTTATGGGAAACGTGGGTTTCAAATGAACTTGTCAATACCAGATGATCCATCAAATTACTCCTAAATGGGTGCCCACCACATCATTTTTGCCCGTGGTAGTGCTGCTGAAGTCCATAGAGAAGTTTACCAATGGACACACACTATGGCTTGTCAAACTTTTGTTTTTATTGGGATCATTTTTGTTTTATTTAAAACCAAAAGACACTGAAAATTTTTGAAAATTCTATACTGCTTTTATGTACTTTTTATTTTTCAGTAAAAATAGTCACAGAAGAAACTTGAAAAGAAAATTTCGGAAATTCTTGTAGAAACAATTCTGAAAAAAAGAAAAACAAAGCCAAATATATAAAGTTTTCAAACTTTTCACTGTTGATTGTGTTTGGATAAGTTGAATGAAAAAAATGATAAATTAGTTCCTTTTTTTAAAAAAACGAAAAGAGTCAGAATTTGTCCTTTTTTAAGAAAATGAAAGAAATAAGAAACCAATTGGAACACACTCATTTAGCAAACTCTTCTTAGAAAAGTTCCTACTTATATATTAATTTGTTATCTGATTAAACTTTTATATTTTGTTGGCAATAATTTTATTTAGATTCTTTAATTTCAGACAACAAGAAGGGGTGAAATAGGTATTTTTGCAAGTATCCAATGCTTTTTTGCCCCTTCCCGTGTCAGCAACCAACAAACGTGCATCACGAAGAGCATGGGACTTCTTGGTTGGACGGTAATTACTCAATCTAACCCGAAATAAATTCAACCCCAAATTTCCATGTTTGTTTGATGTTACAATTTTCTTTTGAAATGCTTCATAAATTTAAATTTATTTTTTTGAATATTTTTTGTTCAACCCATAATTTCGATATCCTGTTTTTGCAATCTTTCATTTTTTGACTTAATAAATAGAGATTAAAAAAATCACTGACAAATTATTAATTAATTAATTAATTAATTTTTTTGTTGGTCTTTTCTTTAAAAGTTTTTTAGACCCTTTGGTGTATACGGGGACCACCCATTCTCCATTAAGCCTAATGTGGGGGGTCAAACTTCCTATGTTTACCAAGGAGCAACAGGATATGGTGAAAGGGACCTATGAATTTGTGGGTGTCAACTACTACACTTCAAAGTACATATAGGTTAAAAGATATTTGGTTGATGCTAGGTACTGTTCCCACTCAAGCAGTGCTCAACACACCGGTTGAATGTGTAGACTTCCACATCAACTTTATGGCAATGACTAGCACCTTGCCATTAGAAAGTAGGTGGATAAGGTTTGAATTCTCATCTTGTAATTATAATTCAATCTTTTGGAATGCCCATTTTCCATAATCAATGACAGGTTATAACAAAGTAGTTGCAGACCAAACCTTCAACCGATTTGGATTTTTCTTTGAAAATAGTTTCCTATTTTTACAATCAAAAAGATTTCTTCTACCGTTCTCAGGAAAACTTTTACAAGATATGTCCATTTTTTAAAATATTTTAAGACCACTATTGATATATAAAACAAAACTCTCATTAGAATAATAAAGTTTAGAAAATTTCAGTGTTTTCTGCTTTAGTCAACATAGAAAAACAAAATTCGAGATGCACAAACCCACTTGTACTTGGCAATTGTCTTTTGTATTCACCTCTCTAGACAAAGACACAAAGTGAATGGATTGTGTTACTAAAAAAAACAGTTATGTTCCTATCATATAATCTATACAATTCAAACTGAAACAAAACTAACTCATGGAAAAAAAAAAAAAAAAAACACATTACTAGCAGCAAAAGTTATGTAAATAGCCTCAAAGTAATTTCATGGAACAAATCTAAGAATTTATAAAAATATGAGATTTATCTCAATTTTCCTTCTTAAGTGGTTCTATGCAACTTTGAAACTGATTCTGATATTAAATAGGTGGCATTCCACTATGTGGGACACAAGGGACACAAATCCGCTAGTATAGATAGCTTCCCTTACTTAGCACGATTCTTAAATATCATTAATTTTGAAAGAAAAGGCCTTGCATACCTTACAACAATAAAAATGCAGAAAATGGATTCATCAAAATCCTTTAACCAATCGTTAATAATTAAATTATGTGAGCACAATATATGAAGCAAATATAATTTATATCTAAACTATTCTTTTTTCTTGTGTTAATTCTTTAAAAAAAGGCAATAGTTAAATCATTGAAACTAGCATCATCCACTGTTAAAGAAATTACATTTTCTATTTTTCATTCATATAGACATTCGTCGGTCCCTATTTTTTCCCCCTTTATGGTTATAAAGTTGACAAAAATTAATTATTCTTTTTTGTAGTTTCAATCTTCATCTATAAAGTAGGTGTGAGGCATATATAAGTAAGATTTTGAATGAATGCCCCTATATCAATTAAGAAAATATTTTGTAAAAGTTTTGTCAATGATTCCTTCAAATTAGTCTTGTCTTTCAAATATAATGTATAAAAACCCCCAATAGCAATTATGAAATTCATTATCATGCACATTATTGCTAATAAAATTAAAAATTTTTTGGACTTGGAAACATCTTCGACTAAATTTCAAAAAATGAAAAGTAGAATACAAAGATGTGTTTGGTTTGCGTGTTAATAGTTTTTATTTAAAAGACAATCCTGAAAATGCGTTTGGTATCTATTTTTTATTTTTCATTTCTAGGAAATATTTCCTAAAAATGGGCTAAAATTGAAAACAATTAAAAAGTTATTTTTAGCCTTTTTTTACAAAACTGAAAACATGGTGACAAGTTTGTAAATAAATTAATTTTAGCGTTTTCACTCCCTTCCCTTGTCATTTATCCCCCTGCCTAATCACCGTGAAGCTTCTTCTCTTCTCTTTCACTACACTAAATTCATGAGGTGCATAAAAACTAATGTGTTTACATGCACAGGGTACTTCAAAGTCGTCTATTGTTTTTTCTTGTTCTTAAATTTTTTTTATTTAGATCACGTTGACTATGATTGTTCTCAGTAAAGTTTTGATATATATGTTATGTGCATTTTTCTATTATTTTAATCTTTTTATGCGGTGCAACTTGTGTCTTTCGTTTCACTTTCTATTTTAGATATATATCTTATGTGCATGTTCCACCAAGAAAATATAAGATATTGTTAGGGATTATGTAAGTAGGATTGCAGTGTGATCTTGTAGCGTGATTTTTTCACTTAGTAAAAATTCTAAAACATTCATTTCATTCAATTGAAATCTCATCTTTAATTCACTAAAATAGAGAAATTAAACAAGCTTTATTATTTTTATTTTTAAAAAATAGAAAATAGTAAATTAAACTAAATATATTTTCTAAAATTAAAAAATCAAAAAATAAAAATTGGTTCTGGAAAATGAAAATAAAAAGTAAAAATAGAAAATATTTTCGAAAAGCAAACGCACTAAACATGTGTCCACCCAAACTAATCCTGGTAGCTTGTTTCCTGCCGCGTTGTCCACGCGCTATCAACGTTTTGCTGTCTGTCTTTATCGAATGAGGAAAATTTTCTCCCAAATTGCTCCCATTATAAATAATACGACATTTTATGAACATGGCATCAGTTGGAAGGGAGTCCTCCGTTGGACGCAAAATGGGTCTTTCATGGAAACGCCTCGCTTTATTTCTCTCACTCCTACTTTCCCTCTCTCTGTCGGTGGCCATCAACACAACAGATTTGGAGGCCTCTGAAGTGGTGAGAAGTGACTTTCCAGCTGATTTTCAGTTTGGGGCATCTAGTTCTGCTCTTCAGGTATTTTTCTAATTTGATCTCCTCATTTGAATGTCTAATCTGGAAATTGGAGTTTTCGAATTTACATACGTGAACTTTTTAAATGATTTTATTTTAGTAGACTTAAAATTCTTTAAAAAAATTGACACGTTCCAAATGTATTTTTTTTCTGCACTAGAAAATTTGAAGTTTCTGATGAAAAATTCCAACAAACGTAATTCTAGCGAAATTTCAACAAAAAGTCTGTTAGAAAACTCTGTTCCCATGAATTTTGGATTTCCATTAGTAAATACGTCAGAAAAGTGCAGGAAGAGAGCGTGAAATGATTTCTAATAGATATTGTCCGTCGAAAACTGGAAAAATTTTAACTCAGAAGAACCACTTTGCGATTTTCTCCTTCCAACAATCCTTCCCAATTCCCTTGCATCTTCTATGCATTGAAGATTTATCTAGCAGATATCGCAGTCTTGCAACAGGAGCAGTTGCTTCTATTGTCTTGGATCATTATTCTTACTCCGTGTTTTCTGTCTGTGTTTGAATTCTACTCCTCTAAGGGTTTGACTTTCACTTAACGAGCAACCGTGTTGTATTTTGACAATAACAGTTAAAGTTCAAGAGTCTGAAATATAATACTTTATTGGTTTTCATTTTTAAGGAATATAATTTGTTAAAATATAGTCTCTCTCTCACACACGCACTTTCTCCACATGTTTTTGTGTCCATGGGAGATCATGGTTGTGAACTTTTCTGACAGATTTTTAAAGAAAGCAGGCAGCATTTGCTGTCAAAAAATTGTTCAGTTATTTTTCTGCTGCTGCTCTTTAGCTGTTTTTCTAATTTGATCTCTTTATTTAAAAGTCTAGTCTGCTAATTGGAGTTTTGGAATTACATACCAGAATTTTTTTTTATAATTTTATTTTACTAAATTTAAAATTCTTTTAAAAAAGGTAAAAGGTCTAAATACTTTTCCAATAGATTTTCGGGGTTTGGATTATTTAGTCACTTATAAACTAAAAATAATATGTTAGAACTAATCTTGTATATACAGACCGAAAGTTATCCAAACGAGGGAGGGAGAGGACCGGGAACCTGGGATTTCTTCTTGGAAGGTGAACCGGCGGTTCGATCCTACTTCATGTACAAGGTTAGTATGAATGCGTTTGATCACAACCGTCAAAAAGTCTTTTGAATTTTTATTTTGATCAATTAAACCAGTTCTTAATTCACAGGATGACGTGGAATGCTTGAAGAAATTTAAAGCCAACGGCTACAGATTCTCCATTGCTTGGCCCCGACTACTTCCAAGTCCATACCGCTGGCCCATCCCTCTTCTCCTTTAATTCATCATTTAATGCACGATTATTAATGAATTATATTTTAATTTAAATTTTACCTTAATTTGATATAAATTTTAAAAATTTAAAACTAATTAAAATATTTAATAGATTAGATTTGAAATTACAAATATTTATAATTTAAAATAAGTTAATCGAATATAAAAATTAAATAATCTAATTAGTTAAGGATTCGAATCCAAATTTTAATAATATTTTTTATTAATTAATAATTTTATAAATGTAATATTAATAAATTTAAAATTTTATAGATTAAATTGAGAAAATCAAAAAAATTAGGAAATAATATGTTAATAAAATAAATTTGAGGGACTTAACTATAAAAGTATTATTTTTTATTCAGATCAAATTTCAAATTATCTGTCACATTTAGATATACTTTAACAGGTATAGATCTTATAGGATTTTGAATCCGAGTATGTTGATATAATCTAAAACCGATTCGTTTACAACTCTATATCACATTTATTAAAAAAATATATATTCTTATTAAAAGTTAATATTTAATTTACATATTCAAATATTCAAGGTTCTAATATTATTAAAATTTACATTATAATAATCATAAATTAGATACTAAACTCAAAAATTATTACACATTAAATATAAATAATTTTTTACCAATAAATAAGGTAAGAAATAAACTAGTTCTATTATCTAATTTTTAGTCTTTTTTTAATACGTATATTTTAAAATTATTTTAAAATATAATAATTTTAACTCAATTTAGTTTTGAAAGTAAATAAATCATGTACATAGTGCGACGCGGGTGAGCAGATATGCCATAACCATCACTAACAGTTTCCAGCTTTTTTACCATTGCTTCAAATGGATAAAAGAATTGAACGAATATTGTTTGTTCTTAATGGTAAATTGTTTGGATAAAAAAGGGGTAAATTGGAAAAATATTTACAATTTGACTAATAGAGTCTTTTATATTTCTGCTTTGTAGACGGAACATTGAGTGGTGGTGTCAACCAGGCGGGGATCGATTTCTACAACAATTTGATCAACGAGCTGGTTGCTAATGGTAATTTACAAGTTCTATTTTTTTTATATATTAATTCAGTTGGTATAAAATTTGGGTTTGTATTTAATAAATCAGTTTTTAAAATATTTTCCAATTCAATTTATTTTTAAAAAATAAAAATTAGGTTATTTTAATTGTGATCTGTGTTGCATTAATTAGTGAACTAATATGGTAAGATAATTCATATTTTGGGTTGGCAGGGATCAAGCCATATGTAACATTGTTCCACTTCGACCTTCCCGTGGCGTTGCAAACAGCATATAATGGCATGCTGAATTCAAGTTTTGTGTAAGAAGTTTTCATTTATTTTCATTATTTTTTCAACAAGCTTAAAATATATAATTATTTTTTGTCTAATTAATTGAAATGTAAATGAATTGATTAGGAAGGACTACACAGCCTACGCTGATCTGTGCTTCAAGACATTTGGAGATAGGGTGCAGCACTGGATAACTCTGAATGAGCCTGAAGTTTTTGCGGCATATGGGTACATGATGAACTTGTCAATCTCAGTTGATGCAGCAACATTCCCCTACATAGTTGCCCATCACTTGATTCTAGCTCATGCTAGTGCTGTTAAAGTCTACAGAGAAACTTACCAGGTTTGAATATATGTATATTAAAGCTATAAATTGAAAAAATTTGTTAGAGTTAATCCTCCTTTAGATTTTTTTTTTTAAAAAGAAGTTCATATGAATATAAAAATTATTTATAAAAATTCATATGAACTTCTCTTCTTATTAGGGTCATCCTTTTGTCTTATTAAAAACCAATAAACACAGAAAATTTTTAAATTTCTACTATTTCTATAAAATTTTTATTTTCAAGTAAAAATTTTAAAAATAGTTTTTGAAACCAACCTATCAAATGGGTTTTTTATTTTAAAAAACAAAGCCAAACATGTAAATATTTTGAACTTCTGATTATTGATTTGTGTGTATAGAAGTCAAATGAAAAATATGATAAACTAATTCTTTCTAATTTTAAAAGAGTCAAAAATTGTCTTCTATTTTGAGAAAATAAAATGAATGAGACATCAAAAATTGGGAAACACTTAGCAAATTCTTCTTATAAGATGTTCCTAATTATATATTAATTTGTTATCTGACTGCATTTGTATATTTGATTCTTTGGTTTCAGGCAACTCAAAAGGGACAACTAGGTATGTCTCTAAGTACCCAGTGGTTTCTGCCCCTTGATGACAATTCGACTGCAGATATAAATGCATCGCACAGGGCATGGGACTTCTTGGTTGGATGGTAATCCACAACCACTCTGTCTAACCCTAAATAAATTCAACCCTTAAAATTTTCATATTTGGTTGATGTTACAATTTTCTTTTGAAATACTTGATTAATTTAAAATTATTTTTGTGAATATTTTTATTCAAACCGTATAATTTAGACAGGTTCAATAGTATAATTATTTTTACATAAACTTTTTTTTTTTTGGTAATTAACAAAGGAAGATCGAAATGACCATCACTAATGAATTATTAAGTAATTAATTAATTAATTTTTTGTTGGTCTTCTTCTTTGGAAAGGTTTTTGGACCCTTTGGTACACGGGGACTACCCTCCCTCCATGAAGCTTAATGTGGGGGAAAGGCTTCCTAACTTTACAAAGGAGGAACAAAAAATGGTGAACGGGTCCTATGACTTTGTGGGCGTCAACTACTACACTTCCAGATACGTCCAGGCTACAAAGCTAACCGGCAATGAATCTACCTCGCCCCTCCTATTCAAATGATCAGCAACTTACGATGCTAAGTATGTATAAATCATGTTTATCTTTTTTTCTAATTAAAATAATAATTAATTACTTCATTTTTTTAATTTAATCTTTGATATCCCATTTTTCCACAACAAAGTAAGTGTAGACAAAGCATGCACACAATTGAACCTAATAAAAATAGTTTTATTCTGAAAATAGTTTTCTATTTTTGCAAACAAAAAGTTTTCTTTTACTTTTAGGAAAACTTTTACAAAATATGTCCATTTTTTTAAACATTTCAAGACCACTATTGATACATAAAACAAAATTGATATTATAATAATAAAAATTTAGAAAATTTCAGTGTTTTCTGTTTTAGTAAAACATAGAAAATCAAATTTGAGAATGGGAAACAAAAAAAAGTCGGAAAAAACAAACCCACATGAACTTGGCAAGTGTCTTTTGTACCTCTCTAGACTAAAATATAAAAAGTGAATGGATTGAATCTCTTAAGATTTTTAGTATATATAGAGATGTTTTTGACATCTTATGGTCCATTTGTTAAGTTTTTTTTTTAAATAAAAAATATTAAAAAGTACTTTTTTAAACATTCTAAAATGCTCAAACAATTTTTTTAAAAAGTGTTGTTTAAAAATCAAAATTTTTATTATTTTGTAACTAGCATAAATAAATTCTGAAAAATTATTTCTAAAAATTTTACTTTCAAAAATATATTTTTTAGTAAATTTCATCCAAACGCAACCTAATTTCATCAATATATGATACCTTGTAGTTTACATTTAAGATTTTAACTTACACAATACCCGTGTTTCCTCTGTTCAGCTGAGAAAAATGGAGTGCCTATTGGTGAGCAGGTAATGAACACTCACTTTCATGTTTTGTCATTGCGAAGGAAAAAAAAAGGAAAAATTAAATTCAGTAAAATGTATATAAAGTTTATAGCATATAATCTTCTGACGTTTGAATGTCTTCCTAGGCTGGAGGCTTCGACCAGATTTATGTTTACCCAGCTGGATTGTTGAAAGTTCTGCAACATATGAAGCTTGCATATAAAAATCCCAAGATCTTCATTACTGAAAACGGTTAGCTAAGCTTGTTTGGCAACGTTTTTTTTTTTTAAATTACAAAATTCTGCTATTTATAAGTTTCAAAAAGTTGGCACTTGTCAACATTTTTAGCAATGTTAAAAAATTATAATTTCTCCTATCCACATTTAAGAGTAAAAGAAAAAAAAACATTTTCCTTTTTTGTTTCTCCATTTCTTTAAAGATAAACAAAAAGGTTGTTTCCAAACGCAACTTAACTTTCATTTCTTTACCACAAACTGAAAACAGGATATCCTGATAAAAGAAATGACTCGATCCCGATTGAGACAGCACTACAAGATGATAAGCGAATCATGGTCATACAAGAGCATCTTTACTACGTCAAAAATGCCATCAGGTTTGGCCAGAACATCTCTATATCTGGACTCGGATTCTCTAATAAATGTCTTATTTGTGTAACCAAACAATGCAATTAAAAAAAACTCAATACTCAACGATTTAAATTAAAAAATCAATTAAAAGCGAGTCTAATTTAAAGTTTCATTACTTAGTTCTTAATTTTCACAAATAGTTCCTAAAATCTTCTCAATGCTTTATTTGTGCAGCGACGGCGTTAACGTCAAAGGGTACTTCGTATGGTCTATTGTAGATGGCATGGAAATGAATTCAAATTATTCTATTCGATTCGGCCTATGTTACGTCGACTACCTAGACAATTACAAGCATTATCCTAAAAAATCAATCACCTGGTACAGGAAGTTAATCACCAATGAAACCAGCGGTTAAAAGGTAACCCTTCCTTAGTTTATGCTTTACTCTCATGAGAAAAGTAAAGCAAAGAGTGTACTTGATTTCTATCTTTTGCTTTGTCTAGCATATAATAAGCCTTCATGGCATAATAAGTTAATGATTTTGTGTTGTGTGGGTAAAAAAGGAAGGACTTAAGGAAGTTTATAAATGTATTGATTCCCATGAATATCATGAAAGCAAATGGTGTTTTCTTGGAGCTGTTAATTAGCAAGTCATGTGTCCCCATAACAGTTAATTTGGACAGCAAAACATCTAAAAGAACAAAAAATGCAAACATTGGTGAGTTCAATTAGTTTATATTTAATTAAAAAAATATAAAAATGTATTTAAATTTATGACAGTACCTAATTCAATTTTTTTCTTACTTTTCTAGCTCCACGAATTCTGTATCTTTAAATCAATAATGAATGCACACAACCAATCATAGGCACAAAATAAGAGTCTCTACGATTGTAGGAGTGAGAGAACTTTTAAAAAGATCACTTATTCTACCACTGTACTAGAGGTTGACTCTGAGGCTACTATAAAAATTGGAATAACAAGAACATTATGGGCTATCATTTTTAATAATTTATATTTGTTAGAATTTTCTTTCCACCATCTTATTACATCAAATTCATCATTTTCAACTGGTATATAACTTTCTTTGGTAAATATTTTTGAACCTCACTTTTAAGTTCCATACCATCCTCATTCTTCATAACTTGCCTAAACATACACTACAAGAAAATTATCATTTAGCTGGGGACAAATCTGTAATTAAATTGAAAAAATCTCTAACTAAACTGAATTTAGCTAAGAAAAAACATTCATAACAAAATTCCGTAACTAAAATAGGCCTAGTTAAATTTAAACTAGGGATATTCATCATCCGTAGCTAAATTTAGCCACGAATTTAGCTAAAGATGAGGGTCATAGCTAAATTTAGCAAGGGATATCTCTAGTTAAATCCCTAGCCAATTTAGCTAGGGAATACTCTAGCTAAATCTCTAGTTAAAAATAACTAGGGTCATTCCCTTGTTATGTCCCTAGCCATTTTTCTACCTAACATGCAAATATGCTACCTTTTAGCTACGATTATACTATTTTTTAGCTAGGAACATTCCCTAACCACAATTTTCAACCTGGCAATAGAATATGATTTTAATATTTTGTATTTTTCTATTTAAATCAAGATGCAATACAATTAATCCCTAACTAAATTACTCAAATTTTATATAACAAATAAAATCAAGTACATTTAAACCAAAAATTAAACTTTTACAAAAGATCAAGTCAAATGTTTACATAAGATGAAGTCAAATTCTTACAAAAACATCAGCATCTACAAAAGACCAAATAGTAATGTTTACATATAACTAAAATTAGCCATAACTAAGAATTTATGTTTGGTCGTGACGAAGAATCAAAGTACAGCCACGGTTGCTTGCTCAAGTTCTCAGCCCTCTTCCTCCACAACAATGTTCTACTTCAGTAAAAAGCTCTGGTAGAAAGTGGAAGAGGACTGAGCATTGAAACCATACCAATATAGGCCTTACAGATAAGATGTCAAAATTAACTAAAAGAGAAATTCATGCTTTCAAAATGTGAAAGCAGAAAACCTATATAGAAAAATTATTTGGCACAATTTTTTCTCTAACTCTTTCTGGAACAATTTCAAAAAAATAGGCCTAGTTGCAAAGAATAATAAAATGTTGATTCTATAATTTACAAAAACTACATATGATTGGAAGATGAAACATTGAATTTATGATAGGTTTTTAGTATTGTCTCTTTGAAATCACAAGCAAACTCAAAATACGAACAGTGAGTATATAACATAGAAAACAGAAACCAATTCAAACAAAATTATCCATCTCATTCATCTACTTGAAAAAACCAAAAAGGCTCAAGTTCTTACCTTATACGCCCCTGTGATACTAAAGTTGCTTGGTGTTTTCTAATAATACCTACAAGTAGCCCTGTTGACGAACCTTAAACCAGCTTGGACTGAAACTAGACCACCGGTTCCGATCCCAGAAAAATATGAACCGAGACTGGAACTTTGAAGGCCAATTAGGTTCCGGTTACGATTCATGCTGGTTCCGGGCTGGTTCACGGTTCCAGTTCGTCACGATTCCGGTTTTGATTCCGGTTCAGGCTGGTTCACGGTTCCAGGCCAAGCCGGTTCACGATTCCAATTCCAGTTCGTTCACAGTTCATTAATGGTTCGTTTCCCAGTTCGGTTCACGGTTCATTTCCTGGTTCGTTCACGGTTCGGCTCCCAGTTCGGTTCGATTCTGGTTCATTCGTGATTTAGTTCGGTTCCAATTTGATTTTACCAAAAAAATTATTTATTAACTTATAAATCTTTTGAATTTTTTAAATAATCTATTTTCTAATTTATTTAAACTATTAAACATTGGAAAATAAATTTTCCTTTTATATATATATATAAATTAACTATTTTAATTTATTGACTAATGGATAGAACTCATGACTCTTCTAACATTTTATTACATACAATTAGGGGTGTGCAAACTATAATTTTGGTTTGATTTTTGATAATTTGGTTTGGTTTTTTGATTTTTTTGTTTTAATACTTTAAAATAAATTATTTATTTAATTTTTTATTATCAAATATGTATATATATGCATGTATATGTGTGTGTGTGTGTGTGTGTGTGTGTATACTCATATAAACAAAAATATATATATGTATGCGTGTATACGTACACATATATATAGGTATATATAAACCATAATATTGGTTTGATTTTTAATAATTGGGTTTGGTTTTTTGATTTTTTGATTTTAATTTAGAAAGAAATCAATCTAATTTAATTATAAATCAAATCAAACTAAATTTAAAATTTCAGTATGCGTATGTATATATATGTACATATTTGTGTATATATATATATATATAGACACGTAACATATATATTTGTGTATATGTATATATATAAACATATATATATTATTCATAAAAATATAGAAATATGTATGTATTTGTGTGTGTGTATATGCATAAATACGTAAATACATATATTTACCTATTTATATATATATATATATACGTACATACATACATATATATATTTACATGTGTGTGCGTGCATGCGTGTGCATGTGTGTGTGTATATATATTTATATTTATACGAGTGGATAAAATTTATACATGTGTGTGTATATATAAGTATGTATGTATGTATGTATGTGTGTTTGTGTACACACACATATATGTTCATATAAATATATGTACGTGTGTGTGTGTGTGTATTTTTATGAAACAGAAATATTTTTAAAATTTTGGTGTTTGGTTTATAATGGTTTAGTTTGGTTTTTAAACTAAACAAACCATAATTTTGAATTATTTTTTTAATCCAAACCTAACCAAACTAAATTCAAAAAAACCAAACCAAATTTTAAAAATTAGTTTGGTTAATTGGTTTGATTTTGCACACCCCTGTGTATAATGTATTTCATTTTAACTTTAAATGAAAAAATAAAAAAAAAATTAAATAATAAAAATTAAACTTTTAAAATGCTAAATATTTTACGATTCATCACGGTTCCAGTTCACGGTTCATGGTTCATTACCTATTCCAGTTCACGTTTCACGGTTCCGGTTACGGTTCATTTCTGGTTCATTCCTTGTTCCGGTTCACCAGTTCCTTCACGGTTCCGATCCGGTTCTGGTTCAGGTTCAAAAAAATGTAAACCTTAACCGGACCACGAACCTTCACAGTTCAAAACCGGACCGGATCGGATATTGGCAATCCGGTCCGATTTTTTCCCGATTCGGGCCGGGTCGGTTCACGGTTCGAACTTGAACCGTGAATAGGGCTACCTACAAGCCAACCATAGAGCCAATAAGCAAGTGTTCAGGATGACAAGAATGGGAGAGAAAATGTTTTACAGATAAATATAAACAAATATCATGTTTTCATGAATTCTGTAAACTTTGGCAAAAGGTTCCAAATGTTTTTAAAGTTGTAAATAGTTTATTAACTATATTTTTATTTTTCGCTTACAACATTTGGAAAATATAAGCAGAAAACATAAATATTAGCAAACAAGGCCTAAGCAGATCAGATTAAGATGTTCTTACTTCCCGAAAGCAATTTGATCGCAAAACAAGCCTGGAAGCTGAGAAGTTGAATATCCTAACCTCCAGGCTTTTGGGGCTTAAGAGCCAAATACAAACCCATAAAGTCAAGCAACCATATAGATAATTAGTATGATATGAAATGATTTTTACATTATTGCCTTGGAAAATGGACATATACTACAAGGAGTAGCAATGTGCCAGTTAATATGATTAACTTGATAATTGGTTTATTTATTGTCACATGGCAAATAACTATGCAACAATATAATTTTACCTCCTACGATAAGGACTACACCACATCACTCAAGAAAAGAAACAAAGGGCATGTAGCATGTGTTTGTGTGTATAAGAGAGAGAGAGAGACAGAGGAGGGAGGAAAGAGAAGGGTTTATGTTTATATTCAACCAGTGGTTTGCATGGCTGCAAACCAAAAAACAAAAATCTTAGAAATTGCATTGTTCTCATTCCTAGGCTTAAAAGCCATATGCATAAGTTAGAAAAGTAGGAAAGTAAAGAAATTTCAATCATGAATAAACATTAGAGGATAGACAAAAACCTAGAAGAGCCACTTTGTCCAATTTAGGTAAAATTGCTACAGTGACATCAAGGCCTCCAGCACTATCTTCTGCATAATTCAGGTCTGACATTCCAAAAAAAAAAAAAAAAAAAAAAGCTTCTCTGATTATAAGCTTTTATACAAAATCTGGGATTTTAAAATTTGGATGATTTGTCAAAAAGCTTATAGAGATTGAGTGAGAAAATGGGAAGTCATGGAATCACCAAGGAGATGATGGCTATCAAGGTATCCAGCACTGCAGGAAGCTACAAGATCATGCATAAGAATGCCAGCATCTGCAAGGGCCAATGTTGTAGCATTTATGCA